GGTGGCGCACCGATGTCTGAGAAGCTCAGCAGCACTTTGGGGGAAAAGAGAGCAGATCACGTGGTAATTTTGCTACGAAACGGCACCCATGGCTCCGTGTACGTCGATGGTGAGCGTGTGGGTGAAGTGCCGTGTGCGTTGGGAAATACAGGTTCGAAAGAGATCTCACACTTCTACATTGGAGGGGATGGAGGCAGCGCAGTGAGCACCGAGAGTCAAGAAGGCGTCTCTGTGACGGTGACGAACGTCCTGCTGTACAACCGTCCGTTGAATGACGCAGAGATTACTGCGATTAACACAAACAAACATTTTATTCAAGGGCTGACAGATCTGAAAAATGTGGCACGAGATACTCGTCCACCAGAAGTAGGCACACAAACTACGCTGGCAGCCGTGTCCGAGTCCACTCGTCATGGGCAACAGCCGTTGAAACATGAACCATTGAAGGGAGATGAAGGTGCGGGCAGTGGTGGTGCATCCAATTCTGCAGAGACCACTGTGACGACTTCTTCAGTGGGGAGTCAATCTGCAGAGCAGTTGCCGTCGGGAGGATCTCCCGATGGAAATAAAAATGTGAATGTCGATTCCTCGTCTAATGGTAACCCGGCGGTGGGGACAGTGGGTAGAGACACGACGCAGGGAAATGGATCACCTCAAACTCCTGTGGGTAATCCCGACGCTGCAGCTACAAAAGCTCCTAACGCTGAAACCATGGGGCAAGATGGACCCACAGTGACACCCGAGGCGGGCGCGAGCTCTGGTGAGAATGGGGAGCCAACGGAAGAAACAAATGGGCAGGAGGAAGAGATCCATCCACAGGAAAGCGAATTAAATACTACGGCACTCAGCAGCAGCCTCGGAAATTCTTTGCAGGGGAATAACACCGACGCTGACACTGTGCGTGGGAGCGGACTGCTGCCATCGCTGCTGCTTCTGGGACTGTGGGGGTTCGCGGCTCTGTGAGGAGTGACTGGCAGCCGCGTGGGACAATTGCGACCTCCGCTGCACGGAATTAATTCCAAGAACTAATTTATCCTTAAGATAATTTGCTTTTTCTTGCTTTTGCTTTGTTGTGCGTTCTTAATTTTTTTTTTTGTTTTAACCTCTTTTTATTCCCAAATTATTTTATGTTTTTTTCTTTTGTTTTATCTCTCACTCCCCCATCCCTCTTTTCTTTTTTGCTTTTGGGGGCAATCACGATGGACTTTTTTTCTGTCCTACTCTTCCCTTTTTTAATTGTTTCTTGCTGCACTCTTCCTGTGAGGAGTGCCGTGTATTTCCCGCCCAACTGCTCCACTCGCACACCCACCGACACGCTCATGACGACGGCCCTGTGCGGCTCGCCTGCTGCACGCATGAGGAGGGGCCGCGACGAACGGCGCGCTGAGGGAACCGTGACGTGTGGGCGTGCGACGAGGGCCTGTGGGGCGGAGCACACATTTCTTTCCCTCTTGTTTTGTTTTCTTTTTTGCGGCCAGGGCGGGCAGACACCCGCAGCGCCACACACACACAGTCACACCCTGCCGCCGTGTTTTTCTTTTTTTTTTGTTTTTCTGTTCATTTCACGCGCTGGCAGTCCCGTCAGCATTTCTCTCCCTCCTGATGATTTTTTTTCTTTTGCTGCGCTCACTCTCCCGATGGAGAGACGCGACTCCCGTCATTTCTGCGTGCTTCTCTCAGTCCCCATGCACACACGAGTGACTGTGCTCTGCGGGCCGCACTCGCACACCGATGAGAGGGCTGAGGGGAGCAGCAACACGCAGATGACCCCATGAAATATAAACGATGTGCGGACACACACGGAGGGTCAGACGGTTGAAAGACATTTAAATATCTTTTAAAATTTTCTTTTGCCCGCAAAATATATACAGACAGTTTGGTGTGGCCACACGGCAGCCAGGCGACTTCTTTCCTTATTTTTAAATTTGTGTGGAACAGTAATGGAAGATTTCTTTTTTATTTATAATTATTTTGTGTGATGGGGTTTATATAAGACGAAGGGGACGGTTCTTTTTTTTTTGTTTTGGATAAATCTTGTGTGGATTGCCACTGCTTGGAATGCAGTGCAGTCATGAGTTTGAGCGGTCTTCTTCTTGTTGTTTCCGCCATGCGTCTCTGCTGTACATTTTTGTGCGTCTCTCCACACACTCTGCTTTCTTTTTTCTACTTCTTCGCTTTGTGTTTCTGCAGGCACACACAACCACACACACAAGATGCACATTGCAGTGGATTTGAGTGCTCCTTTTGCAGTGCATGCTGGCAGTTGCGTGTGGCGGCTGTTGTCTTCTTCCGTGGCCATGAGGAGAAGTGAGGAGGAGGGAGCGCGCAGCCCGAGTCTCCTTTCCTGTGGGTGTGATGCACCGCGTGTGGCTGCGTTGAGTTGGGCTCCGTGTCCCACTGAGGGCGGGATGGCTGGAAATTTTGTTGCCGCGTCATGGATGGATGAGGGTCCACTGGAGCGTGTGGCTGGTGTGGTGGGTGCTTGCTCCGTGTGCGTTGTGTGGTGGCCGCGGGGTTTTGGCCATTTCCCTGGGGCTGTAGCGATGAGCTGGGGGGAGATGGTGGTGGATGTCTTCTCCTCCTGCATGGTGGGTGGCTGCTGGCGTTGTGTGCCTTCCTTGCGTGGATGCCGTCTCGTGGTGTGTGAAGTGTGCGGCTGGGCCTGCTGCCCTCTCCTCATGTTGTCTGCTCTCTCTCTCGCTGCATCCGCTGCACTCCGTCCCTCTCCCTCTTGTTGCATTCTTTTCCTTCTGGCTCACAGATCAGCTGACTGACTGCAGCAACTCCACCACGGGTGACGATGGCTGCGATGATGACGATGGTGACGGTGCGGCTCCGTGTGGTGCGCGCCGTGTTGGTCCTTGCGCTCTTGTGCTGCTGCTGGGAGTCCTGGAGATGTATCTGGTGCTGCGGATGCGGTGGTTGTGCCGGTGGATGTGTCGTGTGCTCCGAGTGACGGCAGCCTGAGCTGTCGTGTGCGTGTGTGCGTGGAAGAAGTGTTCTGCTGCCAGTGTTGAGGCTCAGTATGAGAATTATACTTTCAGTGGCTTTGGTGTGCGCATGCATGGCAGAGATGGTGAGCTGGGTGCTGTGTGCCATGTGGCCAATGCGGTGCACACATGTAGCAACTGTGCTGCCAGCTGTGCAGCGAAAGAGGAAGGGGCCACCGTTGCCTTCACGATGAATGTGACGACACATAAATACGCCGGCCCTTATGAATTGTGGCGGCGTCAATTTCCTCCCGATGGAACCATCCATCCGACTGCACGGAGCAGCGATGCTGACCGGACGGCATCTGTCAGTTGCCGCCACCCCGTGAAGGGAAGGATGACACAAAATCTGGTGGGACAACTGCGCCGCAAGTTAATGCTGAGCCGTCACGCCAAAACGAGGATTGGCGACAGTCTGCCGCGGCTGACGGACCCAACACCGTCGATCCGAGTCCCGCATCCAACACGGCGACAAACACGTCCGAGACGAGGCCCGAGTTTGCCTTTGTTCGGAACACAAAAGTGGCTCCGATACCACCCGAAAGAAGGCCCACGCCTGTCACCGAGCCGCAGGGGGATCCCATTGATGATGCGATGAGTGGTTTAATAAATGTTGAGTTGCCGCGTGGAGTTGTTCTGTTTTTACCGCAGACGACGCTGGTGCAGCCGAAGGATGGGATTGTTCCAGTTACGACGAGGGATTCGTTTGCTTCACCCTCTCTCTTCAGTGCTGGTGGAGTAATTGCTGCTTTCGCTGAGGGTCACATGGATGCCGGATATCAAGGTGGTCAATTAAGTGAGCCCTTTTCTTCTGATGTGGTTGCGGGGTGCATCGACTCTGCGTGGAATTGGTCCACTGTTGTTGGTGAGGTCAATGAAAGGATGCATGGAGGGCACACACTGTGCTTGGTGCAGCGGAGGGAGAGGAGAGTTTGGGTGTTGTGCTCCGCCCCACAACAATCACGAAGGGCCACGGAGTGTTTTCTCCTGTGGGAGGCTCTGATGTGTCCTATGAAGGTGGGTGTTGGAGAGAGGGCGGCTTGGAGCTGAAACTGTTTGTGGGTGATGTCACGAATCCCACGGGTGGCAGGCAGAGTGGACGGATCGAATGGGGCGACCCCAAACCACTCCCGAAACTGATCTCTTCTGCTTCTCACAAGGTTAATGGACGGATTTCATTGCTTCTGGTGGCGCAGGTGTTGTGATGGAGGATGGCATACTTTTGTTTCTTCTGATGGCGGTGAATGAAGCGGAAGACGTTTGCTCCATGATCATTTGCTCGACGGACAGCGGCAGTGCCTGGTCGCTCCGTGAAGACATTTCCCCCTGCGGAATGCCTTAACCCCGCGTCACCGAGTGGGAGGGATCACTTCCCATGATGGTGACTGCGAGAATGGCCAGAGGGTGTAGGCGTCGCGTGACATGGGGGCAAAGTGGACGGAGGCCATCGGGGCACTCTCAGGCGTGTGGGGCAACGCACGATCAGGAGTCTCTCAGAAGGAAAGCCTGCGTGTGGAGTGCGCTGAATATGAACGAGGGCCAAAGGTAACCGAATTGTTTTTGTGATGAATATTGACTGCACTTCCCGCGGAACAACAATTCGCGTGGTGTGCGGGGATCTCCTTTTTTTAATTGTTACTTTCCTTTTGTGTTTCTGTGTGCGCTGCACTTCCTCGTGTGTGTGCGCACCCTCCGTGAGGGGTGCCGACACGACGGACCGCTCTCGCCGTATGTGCATGCGGTGGAGTCTTGCGTGCCGCTCCTGTTTGCTTCTCCCTCTTCCATCTGTGTGTTGGTGTTGCGGCAGGGCTGTGTGTGTGTGTGCCTGTTGCCGTGGATTGGAGTGTGTGTCGTGCGTGGTGTGCGGCGCACGGTGCATGCCTGGCTGCTGCCCTCTCCTCATGTGGTGTGCCCTTTGTGTGTGTCTGCCGCACCTCTCTTCTCCCCTGTTGCTCTCCATGTCCCTCACTGTGCAGATCAGCTCCACACCACTGAACGACCACACTCACGATGATGATGACGTGCCGTCTGTTGTGCGCCCTGTTGGTGCTTGCCCTGTGCTGCTGCCCGTCAGTGGGCGGGACAGAGAGTAGTCAGGATCCAGTTAAGGACAGGCCCACTCCTTCGGTTACTCAGCCACAGGGAACAGGTGTTTCAGGGGCAACAAATGCGTCCACGACGTCAAGTTCAGCAGTTGCGGCCGCTGCGTCACCGGGAAAAAGTGAACAGTCCGATACGCAAGGGGTTCCAGGTGCGGGACAAGCTCCGTCAGAGCATCCAAGTGGGGTGACCGCTCCGGCAGGAAGTCCAGATCCAACAAGTCCGGTGCCTATTACAAAAAAGGGGCCAGGTGGGTCCGTTAGTTCAGGGAGTCCAGGTCCGGTGGCCGATACGGTACAGAAAAATGGTGACAAGGACACGACAGAGTCAAAAAGTGGCAATAATCCATCCACAGACCAAACAAATACGAATGCCGACGATTCGGCCGAGAAGACCACGGCGGCTACTACCACTACTACGACAGCCACGACGACGACCACTGCGCCAGAGGCACCTAGTACTACGACTACAGAAGTACCAACCACGACGACCACCCGCGCACCGTCACGTCTTCGCGAAATCGACGGCAGCCTCAGCAGCTCTGCGTGGGTGTGTGCCCCGCTGCTGCTCGCCGCATCCGCGCTGGCGTGCACCGCTGTGGGCTGAAGAAGTGTGTGTGTGGGCTGTGCGTGCCAGCACTCAGCCACGGGGATTTGTGTGCGTCTGTTGTGGTCCGATGTAAATAAATAAGAGAAAATAATGATTGTATTTTGCTTCCTTTGCTTCTGATGCCCTGCTGTGTGCTCCATGTTGCTGCTCCCTGTATCCGTCACGTTTAGCGCAACCCAGTCACACTCATATGCACGACACGCACACAACTGTTTGCGTGGAATCACATGAGGATAGGTTTATGCACACTGGAGCCATACTGTGCAGCCCCTTGTTTTTTGTGTGTTTCTACATTTTTTACTTTATTGCTGTTTGTTTACCTGTGTTTTGTTTTTGATTGTTTTGCGTGTTTTCGCTGTTTACTTGCTGCGGGGCGTTGTGTGTGTTTTTGCCCTTTCACTGATTTCAACTGCCTCATGGTGTGTGTGCGTTGCTGCTTCTGGGCTGCTGCCATTTGTGACTGTGTGGTGGCTGTGTGTGGTGTAGTGTTCGTGTCTTTCTTTTTTTGCTTTCACTCTGCGTTGATGTGTTGTTAGTTTGTGCTGAAGGCTACACGCAAGTGAAAGGAGTGATGATGGCGATGATGATGGCTGGCCGTGTGCTGCTGGTGTGTGCCCTCTGCGTGCTGTGGTGCGGTGCCGGCTGTGGGGTATTTGCCGATCAGGATGAGGAACTTTCTACCGAGAGTCCTGGTGGCCGTTCGAGTGGTGGAGATCCTCTGGAAACACAAGAACTTGAAAAGCCAGTCCTACACGGCGCAGACTCAGAAATACAGTCACCAGTGGTGGAACAACCACAATTGAACCATCCACAAGATCTACGCGGCGCCGCAACGGAATCTTTGGGGGAAGGTGTAGAAGAAGTGGAAAATGAAGTAGAAGATGATGATGATGAAAAAGGAAGAGGAAAAGGCAAAGATGGAAAAGACACAAGAACTACGGAAAAAGCAGAGAAACAAAAAAGTTTAACGAAAGATCGGGGAACATTGCAATTAACATCGCAGCCAGAAAGAGGAATAACGCCAGCGCCACCACGTGAATCACTACAAGTGGAAGGAGAAGAAGGACCACCAGCATCAGGAGGAGACTCACGCCCACGAAAACCGGCAGCAACACCATCGGCACCAGAACTATTGTTAACATTGACTTCAATCGAAGGACAGGGACAAGGAACCCCGTCAGAGACTCCACCTGGACCAACAACAACAACGACAAATGGAAAACCAGCAGGAGAAGCAAGCCCAACAGCGTCAACAGGCTCCCAGACTGCAACTGAGACAACAAGCACGACGTCACCGTCAAACGCTAAAGTGGCGCTAGGAGCTGCGGAAAAACCTTTAGGGAATCGTGTTCCAAACCAACAGAAAGAAGAAACGGAAACACCAGATTCGATGAAGGATGCACCTACAAGTCATCCGGCGGAAACAAAAGCAACATCCATATCCACAACTGGGAGTGGTGGAGCCCAGAAAAATGAGGACAAAGTTGATAACGGTGATCAACGGCCTAACAGCAAAGAACCACAAGACGGACTTGAAGATGGAAATACCGACGATGCTCCCACAGCCAGTGAGGTCGAACCACAAACACCAGAAACAGACACCACTCAAAAGAATGCTACATCTAAGTCTGGCGACAGTGACGGCAGCACCGCGGTCTCCCAGACCACCTCCCCTCTTTTGCTTCTTCTTCTTGTTGTTGCGTGTGCGGCTGCTGCTGCGGTGGTGGCCGCGTGAGAGTGAGTGAGAGAGAGCCGTGCACCGCCCGCACACACACTCGTCTTTCACTCACTCTCTGTGTGTGTCCCCTTGCATGGACTCTCGCCCTCACCTCACCCCACGAAGCACACACATAATGTGCCCATTGTATATATTGCATGCACACCCATCCAGGCCCGTCGGTGCTCTCTTTTGCACGACACGCACCGCTGCCGTCCTGCCTGGCTGCATGGGCGGAGCACCGTAACTGTTTCTGTTTTGTTTTTATTGCATTGAGTGGGCGACCTCTCTCTCTCTCTCTCCCTGTGTGTGTGTGTGTGTGTTTTGCTTTACGGGAGCAATGAGAGTGTGTGCGCTGGTCGTCCCGCGCTTGGGCTTATTGTTTTTTGTTTGTTTTACTTGTGTTGTGGTTGAGTGCACCCACTGCATTTTCATTGATTGGTGGATCGCTCAAATTGCGGATGGATGACTTTTCTCTTTTGTGTTTTTTTGTTGTTTCTTCCCACGCAATCAGCCTATGTTGGTTTAGCAAGCCGCGAAAAATTTGCCCAACACCCACATCAATCGTTTATTCGCTCTACACCCCACAGTAGACTGAGACGCTGGTGCTGCTGCATGTGATGAAGTTTTTGGTGTGATTGCCAGCGGTGCTTTGCTTTCACTTTGACGTGCTCTTGATTCTTTGGCTATGTGATGCGAGCCGACGGCGCGAACTTGATAAAAGTTGTTGTGAGA